TAAAAAACGTTAAACCTCTTTCGCACATATATAATTACCAACTGCCTTGCTGATTGGAGTTGGCGATCATGCCTCTCCCCTATCCGCACCTGCGTGTACCAGTTCGTGTGCTGGCACCGTTCCTTGCCATGACAAAAAGCTGTAAAGAATCGTGTCACTCTGTCTTGCTGTTTCTTTGTTTACAGATCTTTCCAGTGGTCACAACATGTTCCATTTCCCCTCTTCTCATAACATGACTAAAAATGCCAACTCTCTTTCTAATGTTTGTAATAAGTTGTCTTCGAACACTCGCTTTTTTCAAAACATCTGGGTTGCTCTTCTTAGCTGTCCAAGGAATTCTAAGGATTCCTCTGTAAAACCACATCTCCATGGCCTCGAGATATTGTTCGGCTTGTTTATTAATTGTCCAGGATTCACAGCCGGATGTTAAAACTGACTATATAGCTCTCTCTCTCTCTCTCTCTCTCTCTCTCTCTCTCTCTCTCTCTCTCTCTCTCTCTCTCTCTGTGTATATATATATATATATATATATATATATATATATATATATATATATATATATATATATATATATACTGGCTTACTTTAAGCTTGATCAGAATTAAAATACTTTGTTCATCTCTGTGAAATTCCCCCACCCCCTTCCCGCTCAGTTCCGTGCAAAGCTGTTAATACACCTAATATTATCGTGGAGCAATAACTTTGATCTCATCACATGAATTCATTTATTATTGACGACTTCAAAGACAAGTAGTTTCGTTAAGTTTTAATATTTAAGTTTGCTAAGCAGAGAGAAAAATGGCTGCAGCTGCGGAAGAATGAGGTAATGCCAAAAGGCTAAGCGTTAATTTTGATACAAATGGAAAGCTATTTTTATCTGCACATATTTCTTCCAAAATTGTAAACCAAACTGTCTCTTGTGTTTTTATTTTCAGCAGATTCAGTTGGTCTTTCACTGTTAGTTGCAGCCATTCTTTATTTATTTGTTCACAAATTCTTCTTTAACAAGGCTGGGAAGGTTCATCACCATTGTCATAACTGACGCCCGCCTTCATTCAGTAAATCTTTTTGAGTAACTTCAATAACTTCGGCAGCCCTGATTGGGAGTTCTGCATGGGAACAGGGCTGTTATTGAAGTTGGTACTTTTCATACAAATTTGGTACTTTTTTTTTTTTTTTAACCAAAACCGTCTCCAACTGGAGAAGGCGTTCATTACCAAGCAAAACTGTAATTTTGCTACCACCCCCGATGTTTTGGTACGTTTTTGGAAAGTTTGCATGAATATGGCAAATGTTAGCATTGTCCGCTGGATCCAGTAAGTAGTACCCAAGAAATACCAACGTCAGTGATGCCATTGGTCACGTAGTTTCCCAGCCTGGTTAAAGAACATTATAAACAAATCAACGAATAATGAAGAAAACTAATGCTGAAGGGTCAACAGTTTAAAAAAAAAAAAAATTCAGAAGAAAAATTTTGAGATGAAAATCTCTTTCCAATAGTATCAAAATCTATGCTTATCTTTTCACACTACGTCTTAATTATTAAAAGTTAATAATGTGGTACCTTGTCGTGTGATTTGGTACCTTTGTTAACAGTATTTGGTACTATTAACACACACATTTCGGCAGCCCTGCATGGAAAGCACTAGTCTCTTCCATGGCGTGACAAACTGACGTCGGCCTTCCTTCAGTACGACCTATTAGTAAAGTAAAGGACCCTTTTCCCACGCCTTTAGGCGTATAGATCATATAAGGCTAGACCTATATTTGTATAGACCAATCGGCACAAGATGAGTGATGTGGTCAGCATCACGCCGGCCGCCTTTACTTCCCGGGACTGTATCCGGTACCCACAAAACCGTCTGCAGCTAGGATGGGCACCCTGGCATTACTAAATGCCGGTTACCACTTAAGTGATAACACTGACCACCTAAATTTGCCCCCCCCCCCGCCCTCCTTTTTCACGGGAAGGGATGGCGGGAGGGTCGGGTGGAACACCAATAGGTAAACACTAGTTCACGGGAAAAAAGCACTGTACATGGGTATTTGAACATTAATTGTTCAGCCTATGTGAACAGGTAGGTATGGTGAGCTACTTCTAACTTCCAGAGACTCTATTGTACCATAACACACACACACACACACTTCCATGATAAGTAACCTCATCGCAGGAGACGTGACTTCACATAAAGCCACCTCCTCAGCCACTTGTTCCTGCCCCTGGGTCTGCCCAAGTAACCAACCATGTTTGTCGATATCGGAAACTGTTGTTTGCATAGACCTTCTCACCGTGTCCCACATGTTCACATCCTCTGTAACAGTTCTCGCCTTTTTCCCCCTCCAATTAGTTTCAGGCGTATTTCCCTGTTAGGGCTTTATTCTGTTCCATAGATCACAGAAGAATCTCATCACCGAGCACGAACTTCATATCACTGTTGTGTGTATCGGTAACAACTAGATATGCCAGTCAGTCAGTCAGTCAGTGAGTAGCATATCCTTTGCAGAACCTTGCTCTCATAACAACCCACCGGAAACTTCTTGATCTCAAGCAAGATGTCCCACCTCCGATACACCAATCTAGGGATCATCCGCCCCATCCTGCACCCATCTTCTCTTTGGCCTTCCTCTTCCTCTCTTCTCGGGCATACACCTCTCCATTATTGTTCTCTCTAAACTTTCATTACGTTTCATGTGACCAAAATATTTCAGTTTTCTGTGTTTTATCGTGTTTAAAAGCCAGCCTTCTTCAATATTCAGTAAGAAGATAGGCATGCTATAAATAATCACTTGTTTATAGGTTTTCTTTCTTGCGTTTACAAACGTCTTTTGTCGGAATGAACATCAAAACTGATTTTCCTAAAACTGGCTGTAGTTCCCAGGTCGGTCCAGACAAAAATTGGTCGCAAGAAATGGCATGGGAAGTCAAGGCACTATATAAAAAACTACACACACACACACACACACACACACACACACACACAAACGCACGCACGCACACACACAAAACACACACTCACATAAGTCAACAGTTTGTGATCTTTTCGAGCGACATATCCGACTTAGGCATTTGTTGACTGGAATGGCATCGTCTGCTTCCACTCATAGCTGCTCTCTGAATGTTTGGCCATCCTAATCATCCATGTGGATGGCAGACCAACAGATCAAATTCTAGGTTAAAAATTAGTTGAGTATCCTTTACAGGACGTTGTAGAACGAATACCACATTTGTTTGACTGTTAAGGTTTTTGTAGGCAAATTTTACGTTCAGTAGTTTGTCATTGCTTTCTGTACGGTCAGCTCTCGGTACCGCTGTCGAAACCAACACAAGACAAAACCGTCTGCAGCTGGGATAGAACCCGGCACCCTGGCATTACTAAGCGCGTTCGCAACGCCTTAGTTACAGACGTCAACTAAATCCTAGGTACTGGATTTAAACTCGAGAGAAGTTATAATTGGGGTACCCCTAACACCAGCCTGGTTTAGCCTGCAGTCATGTTTGGGCAGGGGTTGTAGTTGGCCTTTTCAGCAGGAATGGGTCATTAGCGTACAGAACAATTTAAAGATCGCATTTTTTTTAGGGAAAGCCTTCAAAAAACACCTACTATATTAATGTGTTAGTATAAGGCATATATTGTGTGATTATGACGAGGATTAGTGCATCATTACGTGTAATTACAACCTGCTGACTCATTGTCATTTGGCTTAGATCTTGAGATCACCGCGACATTAGCACGTGCACCACCGTTGTGAATTATTTGCACATGTTAGTAAACCCGGTTTTCATATCCTTTGATCTAGCCAGTGGTGTCTGTTTGATTTTCTCTGTGTGTGTGTGTGTGTATGTATGTGTGTGTATGTGTGTGCGCGCGCTCGCGCGTGCGTGCGTGTACGTACGTATGTACATATGTAATGTTTGTAGTGTATGTAATGTATATCTCTGTGTGTGTGTGTGTGTGTGTGCGTGCGTGTGTGTGTGTGTGTGTGCGTGCGTGCGTGCGTGCGTGTGTGTGTGTGTTTTTCTACCTCATTATATTTCCTGTTTGTGTTTTTAAGCTCTTTAATGTTTTAGGTTTGTTGCATGTTGCGTCTTTTTATTTGTGCAATGGTAGCTGGTTCTTTCTTGTCTGATTTGTTTATAATTACACGGTCGGTTATTTTTCCCGTAACTTTTCTGATTGTTCATGTTTTTTCATCAGTTATTTCCTTTTCAGTTTTCAGTTTTTTTTTTTATGTAGGTCAGTTTGTCCTTGATCCCTCCACGCCGTCTCTTCCCGTTGTCTTTCTCATTCTCTCTCTCTCTCTCTCTCTCTCTCTCTCTCTCTCTCTCTCTCTCTCTCTCTCTCTCTCATAGGACGTAAAGGGGGGGGGGGGTGTTAGGGTTAGGGCCATTTTGTTGTGATGGGTGGGGGTCCTTGCGATATACTCAGAGGGCGGGGGCGCCACCTGAAAAAGGTCAGTGACCACTGCTTTAGACATTTGGCTAGTGAGGACCTAAGTAATGCAGTAATGCAGCTTTGTATAACTTTAGAGGCCAGAGACACTGAGCTACTTCTGTTGTCTCCAGACACTGAGCTACATCTGTTGTCTCCAGACACTGAGCTACATCTGTTGTCTCCAGACACTGGGCTACTTCTGTTGTCTCCATACACTGAGCTACTTCTGTTGTCGCCATACACTGAGCTACATCTGTTGTCACCAGACACTGAGCTACTTCTGTTGTCTCCATACACTGAGCTACTTCTGTTGTCTCCATACACTGAGCTACATCTGTTGTCTCCATACACTGAGTTACATCTGTTGTCTCCATACACTGAGCTACTTCTGTTGTCTCCATACACTGAGCTACTTCTGTTGTCTCCATACACTGAGCTACATCTGTTGTCTCCAGACACTGAGTTACTTCTGTTGTCTCCAGACACTGAGCTACTTCTGTTGTCTCCAGACACTGAGCTACATCTGTTGTCTCCAGACACTGAGCTACATCTGTTGTTTCCATACACTGAGCTACATCTGTTGTCTCCATACACTGAGCTACATCTGTTGTCTCCAGACACTGAGCTACATCTGTTGTCTCCAGACACTGAGCTACTTCTGTTGTCTCCATACACTGAGCTACATCTGTTGTCTCCATACACTGAGCTACTTCTGTTGTCTCCATACACTGAGCTACTTCTGTTGTCTCCAGACACTGAGCTACTTCTGTTGTCTCCAGACACTGAGCTACTTCTGTTGTCTCCATACACTGAGCTACTTCTGTTGTCTCCAGACACTGAGCTACTTCTGTTGTCTCCATACACTGAGCTACTTCTGTTGTCTCCAGACACTGAGCTACTTCTGTTGTCTCCATACACTGAGCTACTTCTGTTGTCTCCAGACACTGAGCTACATCTGTTGTCTCCAGACACTGAGCTACTTCTGTTGTCTCCAGACACTGAGCTACATCTGTTGTCTCCATACACTGAGCTACTTCTGTTGTCTCCAGACACTGAGCTACTTCTGTTGTCTCCATACACTGAGCTACTTCTGTTGTCTCCAGACACTGAGCTACTTCTGTTGTCTCCAGACACTGAGCTACTTCTGTTGTCTCCATACACTGAGCTTCTTCTGTTGTCTCCATACACTGAGCTACATCTGTTGTCTCCAGACACTGAGCTACTTCTGTTGTCTCCAGACACTGAGCTACTTCTGTTGTCTCCAGACACTGAGCTACTTCTGTTGTCTCCAGACACTAAGCTACATCTGTTGTCTCCATACACTGAGCTACATCTGTTGTCTCCATACACTGAGCTTCTTCTGTTGTCTCCATACACTGAGCTACATCTGTTGTCTCCAGACACTGAGCTACTTCTGTTGTCTCCAGACACTGAGCTACTTCTGTTGTCTCCATACACTGAGCTACATCTGTTGTCTCCATCCACTGAGCTACTTCTATTGTCCCCATACACTGATCTACTTCTCTTGTCCGCATGTCCTGCTGTTTGTAACAGTTCAAAGCTCGGAATGAATTCGCCCTTACCCGTATTTGTTTGCAAGTCACACCTGGCTGCTGTATCCATTACGGCCATCATAACTACTTCTTTATAGTTTGAACTGGGTATATAGTATCTGCTTTGTTGATCAGCCGTCTAGATTATAATTTTTTTTATCATAGGGTGGTGTGGTATGGCAAACATTTAGGTAGCCGTAGAATGGCGTCTCCGTCGTGAAATGGTCAAGCCATTTACCTCGCACTCTGAAGGTCGTGAGTTCGTTTCACATTACATGCTTCGGTTCACAAGTGCAATTTTTACGAGATCTGTGGGGTTCGTTGCCGGAGCTGTGGAGTTTGTGCTCAGTGTGATGCTGTCATCAGGCGGCTAGCTCTTCTGCGTAGACAGACCGAGTCATTTGGGATAAAACCTAGTGCAATGAAGCCGATCCTCAAACCTATAACCTTTTAACCTTTAGGTTAGATAGGGACCCGACATTCTGGAGTATGTTGATTTATGTCGCCAGTGTAACAGACGCCTTGTAGACTACAGTCAGACTGAATTGAATCATTGATGGTAAAATCCTCTTGTAGCTTCCAAGACCCCATTGTGTGGGAAGACAAGAGTAGACCAACTGCCAGTTCTTTTTTTTTTTTTTTTTTCACTCTATCTCGAGGACTCCGAGATTTCGTAGGGAATTATCGGGAAAGTTAAATAGCATAGGGTTGTTAGGTTGGGAAAATGAACACCGACTAACACCAACCCTACCTCCCCCTTCCCCCGTAATATTGGACTTTCTTGGGATTACGAAATCTCGGAGTCTCTGAGAGGGGATGAACAAAAACATCAACCCACTGCCTCCCTAAAAAGCATGTCGTATGAGTCGACTAATGGGGGGGGGGGGGGAGAGGGAGGAGGCTTTCTTCAAATTGGGGTGCATCTGCCTGATCGACAAGGAACAACCAGCTGCACACAAATAAGGCAGTAAAACGGAAGTACACGCAAAACACAGGCCCTGTCACATTGCCAAAATCCATTTGGACCAGTAGCCAGGGCTTTCCACCAGAGCAGCATACAGTCGACGAACAAAGAAGTCGAGTAAAATGGCGGTTAAACAGGTATGCCCTAACAGACGGAAGCAAATTATTCCTACAAAAGCCTTCTCGATTTGACTGCTGCTTAAACAAATATTTGATTGTATTTTATCTCTCTCTCTCTCTCTCTCTCTCTCTCTCTCTCTCTCTCTCTCTCTCTCTCTCTCTGTCTCTCTCTCTCTCTCTCTCTCTCTCTCTCTCTCTCTCTCTCTCCCCCTCCCCCCCCCATTCCCACCACAATCAAATAATATGTCTCTCTGATTTCCACCCTGCTAGAACACATTTGTTTCACGCGGAGAGCTCGGTAGCAACCTATAGGTTCTTTAATTGGCTTCGTCTCCCAGGTCGACTTAGCCTAGATTTGGGTACTCACAGATATCATGGAAAGTAAAGAGGACGGGCCCGATGTTGACCACATCGCACATTCACTGCCTATTTGTCGATGTCAGATTACTTCGATGAAATATCAACATTTAAAAAATCACAGGCGAACCAATGATTACTTGAAAAGAAAGCGCTTTCCTTTTGTGTTGATTTAATCCTGGAATGGTGGGTGGTTGGAGGCTGTAGAACGCAGGAGGTATCAGTGTGTACTGTTAAGATAATCCTCAGATACAAGCGCGCGGGTGCGATATGGCACCTCCTCATTACAGCTGTGGACATTACAGCTGTGGACATTTCAGCTGTGGACATTTCAGCTGTGGACATTTCAGCTGTGAATATTTAAGATGTGTGTGATTTTAGACTATTGGATGAAGTAAGAGTCGACTGACTGGAGGCTTCCTTTGAAGTCGGAGTGCATCTGGCTGAGACGCAAGGAATCAACAATCTGCATACAGAAAAGTCAGATGTGTAAAACAAATGTGCACGCAACACTCAGGTTCTGGAACAAAAGACTGAAGTCGAGAACTTTCCGCTGGAGTTTACAGCCGGTGAACGCCAAGAGGAAGAATGAAGACATGTGTGAGTTTTACGCGCGCACACAAGATAGCCATGACAGTACGATACACCATGAGACAGAAAAGGGATATCACAAACAAGCCTTGCTTGTGAATACGCTCGCTAATCCAATAAAGGCCGGTCTTCATCGACAAAGATTTTGTTGTTTTGTTTTTGAATAATTCACCTGGGCTTCTAGATGGACTCAGCTTATAAAAGCCACCATGAAGTCTTTGAAGTCAAAGCAGCAGTTGTTGACCACATCCGCCACCTAGTGTCGGCTCAGCTGTAAAATATGGGTCTAAGTTGTTGACCACATCACCCACCTAGTGTCGGCTCAGCTGTAAAACAAGGGTCTAAGTTGTTGACCACATCACCCACCTAGTGTCGGCTCAGCTGTAAAACAAGGGTCTAAGTTGTTGACCACATCACCCACCTAGTGTCGGCTCAGCTGTAAAATATGGGTCTAAGTTGTTGACCACATCACCCACCTAGTGTCGGCTCAGCTGTAAAATATGGGTCTAACACCATATGAATGTTGAACATTTTGTGAAGTACGTCTATGTCATTCATTGGACGTTAGGAACAGAATTCGCGCATGCTTTATAGAGCCAATTTAAACATCCTGCTGTGAATCCTGGACAATTAGTAAACAAGCCGAACAATATCTTGAGGCCTCTGAAGTGAACAATATCTTGAGGCCTCTGAAATGAACAATATCTTGAGGCCTTTGAAATTAACAATATCTTGAGGCCTTTGAAATGAACAATATCTTGAGGCCTTTGAAATGAACAATATCTTGAGGCCTTTGAAATGAACAATATCTCGAGGCCTCTGAAATGAACAGTATAGCCTGCGGTGGCAGTAGTCGCCGGAAGACCGCGATTTAAGTCGATGGAAGTCCGCAATTTACATGTGACTGAGCCCCTGTTTTTGGCCGCCATAATATGTGACCGTTATTCGGAGGATAGCCGGAATTGGTGTTCAGTTCACCTTTGGCTCAATGCTACATACTTAAGTTACGGTGGACTAGCTAAATAAAATAGCCGGTTACTACCTGCTGACCAGGCGGCGTTACAATTTTGCCAGATCATATATAGATACTGGGAGCCGCTTTGGCGCAGTTGATAGGAGGCTCGCTTTCAAATCCAGCTACAACTTGCTTTAGCCACCGTCGGTGTTCGAAACCGTGCGGTTCCCGGGGTTCACCCAGCCTCAAGGAAATGACACTCAGGGGTAAGTGGAGGAACGTCGGGCGACACAGGCGGACAGTTTATTATCAGCTGTCCGTACTGGTTGCAGAGCACTTATGGTTTATAACCGTGTACAATGACTCTGGTTCACATCTCCCGACTTTACCTTTAGATAAATGCTGCCTGGTAGGATGAAATGCTTTGCTTCATGGATAGCATTTTTGGTTTGGCCGTAATAAAATCAGTCTCGTCATTTAATTGTCAGATTGTATATTTACGATATCAAGAAGTCGCTTAACCTGTCACAGAAGACTAGGAAGCCCAGCTGGGGACAAGGAAGAGATGGAAATATAAGCGAACGTTTCGACCGACGTCTTTATCAGCCGACAAAACAGTTAATATAAACAACAAACATAGTGTTGTTTTATCCGCTGATATTGCCTCTGCGTGGCACAAGAAAGATGACTAAAACTGAACAGAATACCGCCATTGGTATCATGCTAGAGCCAATAGCAGCAGACTGAAGGTCACTTTCATCATCTGAAACATCCCATCAGTGACGGGCCCAAACATTTATCAAGTGTTCTTAATGACCTGACCCACAAGTTGACCCGGTCAGCGGTTGTAATGACCTAATATATAGCGGACTGACCAGAGAATCCGGTGACTCAGCTTGCAGCCGACTGACCAGCGGGCGCGCCGTTGAAACGGATAATGTAGTGCTTCCTCAATGACCTGGAGACGATGATGGATGAGCTTGGTCCAAATTCAGGGACATATTTATATAGCATAACCTGCAAACCACCGCACACCAGTAGAAGTCACGTCATTGGTTGTCTGGCGTGTATCTGAAGTCTCACATGTGTCCTACCCTTAGTGAACGCAGTTTTAAAAAAAGGTCCTTTGTTTGCCATAGACGCATCAGGTCTGTGGTCTTGCTTGGCTTGCTTTGTTTGCACAAAAATCATGTTTAACCAGCATATCTCTGTAAACCAGTCAACACTTAGGCACCTCGAGTCTCGCTTCCATATTTTGGAAGGGGGGGGGGGAGCGGCGCCCCCTCCTCCTTTTGAGGGAGCATAGCCTCCCTGCTTTCCCACAATACATATATAGACGTTTTCTTTTCAGGCATTCATGATTGGTGTTATTATTATTGCGCAAGTAAACAAGACTTGAACTCATCCCAGCCCTTGCTAATTGGGGGGGGGGAGGGGGGGGAGTGAGTTAATGTACCGGTTCTCCAAGAAAAGAGTAGTTTAAAAAAGGACATGCAAGGAGTAACCGTATGGTGCGTTGCTGGGTACTGAATGATAAATTGTACACTGAATCTGATCTGCTGACTTGACAAGATTCCAGGCCAGCTACAGGCGGTTTGGTAGCAGCTTATTTTGATAACTGCACCAGCGCCAGTACTGTTCAGAAAGCTGTGGTAAACTACTGAAGTGAGATTACCGGAAAAACACACACACACACACACACACACACACACAACAGTCAGCTAATAATGTTGAGTGTTTTGCCAAGTCCTGGTAAGGACACGCAACTAACCTTAGTTTTTGAATATTGGTTTTGTCCCGCGTGGATTCCAGGGCTCCATTGTAGGGAAAACAAGAATAGATCCACTGCTCCCGACAAGCATGTCGTAGGAGTCGACTAATTGGGAGCTGCCTTCGATGTCGGAATGCATCTGCCCGAGCTGCAAAGAGCAACCAGCTGCATACAAGTTAGCCAGTAAAACGGATTTACATGCAAATCTCAGGCCCTGGCATAAAGCCTAAGTCCAGATAAACGAACAACCAGGACTTTCCGCAGGAGCTTACAACCGCATATAAAAAGAAGTATATTGGTTTTGTAGCCATTTTGTGTTTTTTTATTTTTTTTATTTAGAATTGTGTCCTAAAAGCTGAGGTATGTTGGTCATGTTAATACATCATGATGCCGTTGGGGAAAAACGGTTCTGGAGGATACAGTTTCCGGAAAACGATGCAGAGGCCGAACTCCTCCAACTTGGATACAATTCATTAACTAACGATGCATTGGCTAAGAAAGCACAAAGAGCTGAAGAATTGACTAAAGGCAGAGAGACTTTCACGCATGCCGTGACGAGAGTGACATTCTGTAAAGGACATGCTGATTCATGATGACCAGCCATCTTTAATATTCTTCAACATTCATCTCTTTAGTCATGTGATGAGCGGAAAGGCTTTGGAGAATATTGTGACGACTTGGAGTATAAACGGTAGAAGAGGGAGAGGCAGACCCAGAAATATGTGATGACGGATGGATTGCGAGGGTGGCACGGAGGGATATCATCAGCGGGACTAATCCAGAGGACAAGGGACCCAGATCTGTGGAGATGCATGAAAGCCTGCACCAGTCGGCAAGGGCACGTGATGATGATTCATCTCTCAATGATGCGTGAGTGATCAGCATACACATTTCGATATCTCGCTCCTGGTTTACTAGGATTTCATAGCTGAACTCTTTCAACTGCAAGCTTTTTCAACTTCTTCTTCTTCGCGTTCATCTGCGTAAACCCTGAGAGAAAGTTCTAGTTGTTCATTTACCTCTGGAGTTAAGACTCATTCCAGAACCTGAATGTTGCGTGCACATCCATTTTACATGTCTGACTTATTTATATGCAGACTTATTTATATGCAGGCCCGGCTTGCTGGCGTAGTTAGCCAAACCGGACTGCGCGGTGACCGGGTGACAAAATCCTTGTGGTCCGGGTTCATGCCCGGGGGTAGGCAGAAAAGCCACACTTCTCACTTCGTTATTTATAGTAAACTATTGCTGGACCAAGAAATCAACATCAGGATAGGTAAGGCAGCAACAACAATGAGCAGATTGACAAAGAGAGTTTTGGAGAACAGAAAGCTCACAATTAAAACAAAAACCCTTGTCTCTCAGGCTTGTGTTCTCAGCACTCTGCTTTATGGCAGTGAAACTTGGTCAGCCTACTTGCACCAGGAGAGACGGCTTAATAGCTTTCACATGCGATGCCTAAGAAGAATACTTGGCATTAGGTGGCAGGACAAAATCACAAACACTGAGGTACTGGAAAGAGCAGGTACTACAACAGTCTTTTCCATGCTCAGTTTATGAAGGCTCAGGTGACTGGGTCACACCTGGAGAATGGAGGATGGCAAAGTCCCTAAGGACATCCTTTATGGTGAATTAAAGACAGGAAGAAGATGTCTACTACCTTACAAAGATGTATGCAAGCAGGACATGAATGATACAGGTATTGGGGCGGTCTCATGGGAACAAAATGCCATGGACCGTGTTGTTTGGAAAGGGCATATCAGAAAGGGAACGAGACTGAAGGAAGAGAGGATTGCAGAAAGGATGAGAGCTGAGTGTCTTAAAAGAAATGGATTTATATTTGGCTCTTTTAACATTCATTTTTTCTATTGCAGATTGTCGGGAGAACATGGTCGATGAGCTTACAACCACGGGAGAGAGCAGCAGCAGCAGTGTCTCCGTGCATAGAAAGCTAGAGGCCCCAGAACTGATCAGTCAAGTTGACAGTGAGCTGCTCAGCTCTGGTGTGGCCATTCTACCTGGTAATGTTTCATGTTACTGCAGTTGACATATTGTTAAACTTCAGTGCTAGATACAGGTAACCACATACAGAAAATAACAGTGTTGACACTGGAAGAATTTTTCAATGAGAAAGTTGAATTAAACCTAAAGTTGAGAGGATCATGTTCATTGCACTGGGTTTTATCCCCTGTGGCTCAGACTCTGTCGGCAGAATGGCTAGCTGCTTTCTGAGACCATCACACAAATTCTGAACTCTGTAGCTCCAGCAATTATCCACACGGATCTGTAAACAAACTACACTTGTGAACTGACTGATGCATTTGTGAAACAAACTCGTGACCTTCAGAGCATGAGGCAGACGGCTTGACCATGAGAAAGACACATGCAGAAATACTCTTTAACTCTTTAAGTCCATCATACGTTTATAGGTTACTACCTAGAAGCCAGATGGACTCATGATGTGCCGATTATACGTCTCTTTTGACTACCGCTTGGGCCTGTGATGCTAAACCCTCTGGGACTCAAAGAGTTAAATCCCAGATAGTTGTTCCTTTAACTCATTACATCCAGAGCAGTAGTTATTTGAAGTTAATAAATGTTGGGTCTAAAGATATTGAAATAGCAAAACTAAATGTAGTAGGATTTGCAGAAACAAATGGGATACATACCAGTTTTCTCTTCTCACAGTGTGTCCAACATCTTTTTTTTAAAAATAATATATGTATATAATTATAGTATAAGACAGTTACTGGTACCATCGGAACTGGAACTCTTCATTAGCTGCTGAAGATTGGGACAAAGCACATTTGGGAGTATCCCAAGTACTGTAATGTCGATTCTTAATTCAACATTCAACATGTTTATAATAATGCTTCCTTCTGTATTCTATCTATATTCTCTTCTTCTCACAGCTGACATACATCATTCACAAGTGATCTCCATTGCTGCAAGTCTGCTGCTTTTCTGCCTATGGTATCCCATGAAAGTTAGCATTCTTTGAGTTCCCTTTCTACTGATCTTTTCCAGATTTCCTTAGGTTGTCTTCAGCTCCGTTTTCCATCTGCAATCCATTGGAAAGCTGTTCTTGGAGTGTCACAAGGCACTCTGCAAACATGTCTAAGCCATCTCCTTCTTTTTTCTTTCATACTATTTGCCTATGTTGAACATTTCGTTTCCTCCTTGGTTTTCATTTATGATCCTTTTTTTGTCTTAATATCCACATGATACTCCTTAGATTTTTGTTTTGTCCTTGGGTCTCCACCTCTTTGGAAACATTTAGTTTACTTATTTATGCTGTCCAAGAAATGTTCAACATGCTCATGTACGACTATATTTTTTAGGCCTCAGGGCATTTTGGGGCCTATTTCTTGACTGACATAGAGGAGTCATTACAACCAACTGCTCATATCAACAGTCAGTAGAGGAGTCACTGTAATCAACTGCTCATATCAACACAGTAGAGGAGTCATTGTAACCAACTGCTCATATCAACACAGTAGAGGAGACATTATAACCAACTGCTCATATCAACACATGGACATACAGAGACTTCCCCACCAAGCCTTCATATGGTCACCAGAGGGTAAAAAAAAACAGGGAAGACCAAAAGAAACTCTCCGTAGAACCATCACAAGGGAGAGCTCAACCATAGGTCTCAGTCGCACTCAAGACCTACATCAAGTGGCAAAGAACCGACAGACGTGGAAAGCTATGACCTCTGCCCTATGCGCCATCTTTAGCACAAGAGGAATAACTAACTAACTAACATATCAAGACAGTAGAGGAGACATTATAACCAACTGCTCATATCAACACAGTAGAGGAGACATTGTAACCAACTGCTCATATCAACACTGTAGAGGAGACATTATAACCAACTGCTTATATCAACACAGTAGAGGAGACATTGTAACCAGCTGCTCATATCAACACAGTAGAGGAGACATTATAACCAACTGCTCATATCAACACAATAGAGGAGTCATTATAACCAACTGCTCATATCAACACAGTAGAGGAGACATTGTAACCAACTGCTCATATCAACACAGTAGAGGAGACATTATAACCAACTGCTCATATCAACACAGTAGAGGAGTCATTATAACCAACTGCTCATATCAACACAGTAGAGAAGTCATTATAACCAACTGCTCATATCAACACAGTAGAGAAGTCATTGTAACCAACTGCTCATATCAACACAGTAGAGGAGACATTATAACCAACTGCACAGTAGAGGAGACATTATAACCAACTGCTCATATCAACACAGTAGAGGAGACATTGTAACCAACTGCTCATATCAACACAGTAGAGGAGACATTATAACCAACTGCTCATATCAACACAGTAGAGGAGACATTATAACCAACTGCTCATATCAACACAGTAGAGGAGACATTGTAACCAACTGCTCATATCAACACAGTAGAGGAGACATTATAACCAACTGCTCATATCAACACAGTAGAGGAGACATTGTAACCAACTGCTCATATCAACACAGTAGAGGAGACATTATAACCAACTGCTCATATCAACACAGTAGAGGAGACATTATAACCAACTGCTCATATCAACACAGTAGAGGAGACATTATAACCAACTGCTCATATCAACACAGTAGAGGAGACATTATAACCAACTGCTCATATCAACACAGTAGAGGAGACATTATAATCAACTGCTCATATCAACACAGTAGAGGAGACATTATAACCAACTGCTCATATCAACACAGTAGAGGAGACATTATAACCAACTGCTCATATCAACAGTCAGTAGAGGAGACATTGTAACCAACTGCTCATATCAACAGTCAGTAGAGGAGTCATTGTAACCAACTGCTCAAATCAACACAGTAGAGGAGACATTGTAACCAACTACTCATATCAACACAGTAGAGGAGACATTAAAACCAACTACTCATATCAACACAGTAGAGGAGACATTATAACCAGCTGCTCATATCAACACAGTAGAGGAGTCTTTATAACCAACTACTCATATCAACACAGTAGAGGAGACATTAAAACCAACTACTCATATCAACACAGTAGAGGAGACATTATAACCAGCTGCTCATATCAACACAGTAGAGGAGTCTTTATAACCAACTACTCATATCAACACAGTAGAGGAGACATTATAACCAACTGCTCATATCAACACAGTAGAGGAGACATTGTAACCAGCTGCTCATATCAACACAGTAGAGGAGACATTATAACCAACTGCTCATATCAACACAATAGAGGAGTCATTATAACCAACTGCTCATATCAACACAGTAGAGGAGACATTGTAACCAACTGCTCATATCAACACAGTGGAGGAGTGTTTATAACCAACTGCTCATATCAACACAATAGAGGAGTCATTGTAACCAACTGCTCATATCAACAGTCAGTAGAGGAGACATTGTAACCAGCTGCTCATATCAACGCAGTAGAGGAGTCATTGTAACCAACTTCTCATATCAACACAGTAGAGGAGACACTGTAACCAGCTGCTCATATCAACACAGTAGAGGAGACATTGTAACCAGCTGCTCATATCAACACAGTAGAGGAGACATTGTAACCAACTGCTCATATCAACACAGTAGAGGAGACATTGTAACCAGCTGCTCATATCAACACAGTAGAGGAGTCTTTATAACCAACTACTCATATCAACACAGTAGAGGAGTCATTATAACCAGCTGCTCATATCAACACAATAGAGGAGACATTGTAATCAACTGCTCATATCAACACAGTAGAGGAGTCATTGTAACCAACTACTCATATCAACACAGTAGAGGAGACATTAAAACCAACTACTCATATCAACACAGTAGAGGAGACATTATAACCAGCTGCTCATATCAACACAGTAGAGGAGTCTTTATAACCAACTACTCATATCAACACAGTAGAGGAGTCATTATAACCAGCTGCTCATATCAACACAGTAGAGGAGACATTGTAACCAACTGCTCATATCAACACAGTAGAGGAGTCTTTATAACCAACTACTCATATCAACACAGTAGAGGAGACACTGTAACCAGCTGCTCATATCAACACAGTAGAGGAGTCATTGTAACCAACTGCTCATATCAACACAGTGGAGGAGTGTTTATAACCAACTGCTCATATCAACACAATAGAGGAGTCATTGTAACCAACTGCTCATATCAACAGTCAGTAGAGGAGACATTGTAACCAGCTGCTCATATCAACGCAGTAGAGGAGTCATTGTAACCAACTACTTATATCAACACAGTAGAGGAGTCATTGTAACCAACTGCTCATATCAACACAGTAGAGGAGACATTGTAACCAGCTGCTCATATCAACACAGTAGAGGAGTCATTGTAACCAACTGCTCATATCAACACAGTAGAGGAGTCATTGTAACCAACTTCTCATATCAACACATTAGAGGAGTCATTGTAACCAACTTCTCATATCAACACAGTAGAGGAGTCATTGTAACCAACTTCTTCTCATATCAACACAGTAGAGGTGACATTGTAACCAACTGCTCTAATCAACAGTCAGTAGAGGAGACATTGTAACCAACTTCTCATATCAACACAGTAGAGGAGTCATTGTAACCAACTGCTCATATCAACACAGTAGAGGAGACATTGTAACCAACTGCTCATATCAACACAGTAGAGGAGTCATTGTAACCAACTGCTCATATCAACACAGTAGAGGAGTCATTGTAACCAACTTCTCATATCAACACAGTAGAGGAGTCATTGTAACCAACTTCTCATATCAACACAGTAGAGGAGACATTGTAACCAACTGCTCTAATCAACAGTCAGTAGAGGAGACATTGTAACCAACTACTCATATCAACACAGTAGAGGAGTCATTGTAACCAACTGCTCATATCAACACAGTAGAGGAGTCATTGTAACCAACTTCTCATATCAACACAGTAGAGGAGTCATTGTAACCAACTTCTCATATCAACACAGTAGAGGAGACATTGTATTGTGCCAACCAACTGCTGCTATATCAACAGTCAGTAGAGGAGACATTGTAACCAACTACTCATATCAACAGTCAGTAGAGGAGTCATTGTAACCAACTGCTCATATCAACACAGTAGAGGAGTCATTGTAACCAGCTGCTCATATCAACACAGTAGAGGAGACATTATAACCAACTGCTCTAATCAACAGTCAATAGAGGAGACATTGTAACCAACTGCTCTAATCAACAGTCAATAGAGGAGACATTGTAACCAACTGCTCATATCAACACAGTAGAGGAGACATTGTAACCAACTACTCATATCAACACAGTAGAGGAGTCATTGTAACCAACTACTCATATCAACACAATAGAGGAGACATTGTAACCAACTGCTCTAATCAACAGTCAGTAGAGGAGACATTGTAACCAACTGCTCATATCAACAGTCAGTAGAGGAGACATTGTAACCAGCTGCTCATATCAACAGTCAGTAGAGGAGACATTGTAACCAGCTGCTCATATCAACACAGTAGAGGAGTCATTATAACCAACTGCTCATATCAACACAGTAGAGGAGACATTGTAACCAGCTGCTCATATCAACAGTCAGTAGAGGAGACATTGTAACCAGCTGCTCATATCAACAGTCAGTAGAGGAGACATTGTAACCAGCTGCTCATATCAACACAGTAGAGGAGTCTTGTAACCAGCTGCTCATATCAACACAGTAGAGGAGACATTGTAACCAACTGCTCATATCAACACAGTAGAGGAGTCTTGTAACCAGCTGCTCATATCAACACAGTAGAGGAGTCATTGTAACCAGCTGCTCATATCAACACAGTAGAGGAGACATTGTAACCAGTTGCTCATATCAACACAGTAGAGGAGTCATTGTAACCAACTGCTCATATCAACAGTCAGTAGAGGAGTCTTTGTAACCAACTGCTCATATCAACAGTCAGTAGAGGAGTCATTGTAACCAACTGCTCATATCAACAGTCAGTAGAGGAGTCATTGTAACCAACTGCTCATATCAACAGTCAGTAGAGGAGTTATTGTAACCAGCTGCTCATATCAACACAGTAGAGGAGACATTGTAACCAGCTGCTCATATCAACACAGTAGAGGAGACATTGTAACCAACTGCTCATATCAACACAGTAGAGGACACATTGTAACCAGCTGCTCATATCAACACAGTAGAGGAGACATTGTAACCAACTGCTCATATCAACACAGTAGAGGAGACATTGTAACCAACTGCTCATATCAACAGTCAGTAGAGGAGACATTGTAACCAGCTGCTCATATCAACACAGTAGAGGAGACATTGTAACCAACTGCTCATATCAACACAGTAGAGGAGACATTGTAACCAGCTGCTCATATCAACAGTCAGTATAGGAGACATTGTTACCAACTGCTCATATCAACACAGTAGAGGAGACATTATAACCAACTGCTCATATCAACACAGTAGAGGAGTCATTGTAACCAACTGTTCATATCAACAGTCAGTAGAGGAGTTATTGTAACCAACTGCTCATATCAACAGTCAGTAGAGGAGTCATTGTAACCAGCTGCTCATATCAACAGTCAATAGAGGAGTTATTGTAACCAACTGCTCATATCAACACAGTAGAGGAGTCATTGTAACCAACTGCTCATATCAACATAGTAGAGGAGTCATTGTAACCAACTGCTCATATTAACAGTCAGTAAAGGAACTTTGAGATATTGATATTGCAACAGAGGACTCAGCATAGATAGAAATGCCCAATGTACAGTGATGCCTGTTGTGATACATAGACATAATATTGTTGTGTGCATTGGAACATTGTATATTTCTGTAGTTAGCACCTCATTCACATCTGCTGAATCACTGGGAAAATTAAGTGTAAGAACCTCTGTATTAGAGGTGTTAATTCCTGTTTTGTGCTTGTCCAGGTTGCACAGATGAGGAGGGCAGGAATCTGGTGTACATTTTCACCTGCAGCAGTTTGTGGCATGAGAGGAGGGTGTCCAGTACAGAGCTGGCTAGGCTTCTGATGTATTACTACACTGTGCCAAGGTAAAGATAATAATGGCTCCATCTTTGTTTTTTGAAAACATTATCATTAATTTGTTATCATGTGAGCATAAACACATTAACACAAATATGCTTGCAAACACATGTAAATGCAGAATTGATTGTTCAAAGAGTAAAGGGAAACAGTGAGAGAAATGTCTGAATGAGAGACTTTTGAATGAGTGTACTTATATCACTGTACTAGTTGAAGAAAATGTTGAACCGATGGCATTCAGAGTATGCGAACTAAGCAATAGCTAACACAGACAATTAAATATCACAATACTGTATGGAAACTAGTAGGATGATAAGCACAGAAAGGTGACACAGTTTTTAAACAGCAACCACACTGCAGTGGCTCCTACACATATTGATAAATATACAAATTGTAATCTGTGTAGTTAAAAAAAAAAGGGAAAAAAAAAAAGAAACACAGTTATCCAGTGGTGCTTTTCTTTACCCCCCCCCTTTTCCCCCCAAAGCAGATAAGGAAGGGGGGATGGAATTGAACAGTTATCTTAAGACCCATATGCATAAAAATGATTAAATACCCAGAAAGAACTGTCAGTTGATTGGTTGAATCCTAAGGTATTCTTATAAGCAATTTGAACAGTTTAACTCATTAAATTAAAAAAATTATAAATGTCGTAATTATGACAAAATTATGTTCCTTTCAGTTTGAGTAGTAAAGCGCTATCAGATAACTATGTGTTTCTATTTTTAAAACAATATACAGTATATTTACTCCAAATATCCTTACATTTAAAGTTGAATAAATGATATGAACCATTTTACTAGATTGCTTCTAATAAGGGACAAAGAAACTCTCTTGAGGAAGTGAACTGATGTTACATTACTGCTCTCTGACAGAAACTAGTACTACATTGCTTATAATAAACAAAGACATTTTCAGACAACATGAATGAGTGGAGAAGAAATTCTCTGAGGACCACTGCAGCTCACAGAGTTCAAAGAAATTCTCAAAGGACATGAAACAGTATTGCTTACTTGTGGTAGAGAACAAATTATTTGCGTACTTTTGTTGAGGCACATGTGTACTTTAGTAAGTACCCCAGCCTCCACCTACAGATCACATAAGGAATATCTTGTGTGAAGTCACTGTGTTACCATGAGGATCCAAATCTGTACATATCAGTACCATACAGATTGGCAGCATATCCTTTACAGGTCATTGCAGAACCATACAAATTAGTTGCATATCGTTTACAGAACGTTGCCGAACCGTACAAGTTAGCTGCATATCGTTTACAGAACGTTGCCGAACCGTACAAGTTAGCTGCATATCGTTTACAGAACGTTGCCGAACTGTACAAGTTAGCTGCATATCGTTTACAGAACGTTGCCGAACCGTACAAGTTAGCTGCATATCGTTTACAGAACGTTGCCGAACCGTACAAGTTAGCTGCATTTAGTTTACAGAACGTTGCCGAACCGTACAAGTTAGCTGCATATCGTTTACAGAACGTTGCCGAACCGTACAAGTTAGCTGCATATCGTTTACAGAACGTTGCCGAACCGTACAAGTTAGCTGCATATAGTTTACAGAACGTTGCCGAACCGTACAAGTTAGCTGCATTTCATTTACAGGATATTGCAGAATCATACAAAGATGCTGACAGTTTTTGTTTTGGGTGAGAGAGGGGGGATGCAGACTGTCTGATTCTACAGCTTAACCTGATCAGGTCTTTTTCTTCTTCATTACAGTCGATTAACATTTAACATGCATATGTTTTAAGTTATACTATGTTTAGACAATTTTTACATGAGTGGCTATACTTTTATGTTTTTAGTTTTACAGTTTTTAGACAATCTTTTACATGAGTGGCCTTCACTTTTATGTTTTTAGTTTTACAGTTTTTAGACAATCTTTTACATGAGTGGCCTTCACTTTTATGTTTTTAGTTTTACAGTTTTTAGACAATCTTTTACATGAGTGGCCTTCATTTTATGTTTTTAGTTTTACAGTTTTTAGACAATCTTTTACATGAGTGGCCTTCACTTTTATGTTTTTAGTTTTACAGTTTTTAGACAATCTTTTACATGAGTGGCCTTCACTTTTATGTTTTTAGTTTTACAGTTTTTAGAAAATCTTTTACATGAGTGGCCTTCACTTTTATATATTTATATATACAGTTTTGAGACCATTTTTATATGAGTGGCACATCAGATGTGTGTTTCAACTCATATTATTATTGATCTTTGTCAACATCATACTGGCCATCTTTACTTCCCATGACAACATGTGGTACCCATTTAAGGCTAGGTTGACCTCATAGTCAGGAACAGTGAACAATGAGCAATTTTCCAATATACCTACAATTCTGTATAGTAGTCTAATTATTGTCACATGTTATTAACATATTTTTGCAATTTGTTTCAGGAAGAAACCACGCCAAGAAGGAATGGCGATTGTAGCAGACATCAGGGGTGTTACTCCATCTACCGTGAATGTTCTTTTGGAAGCTTTGAATCTGCTCCAGGTAGTTTGTCATTTTATCATCTGTGAGGCTGTGATTTCTTCTTTTTGTCTTCAGCATTCATCTCACAAAATGGCTCTCCCGGAACTTATATGGTTGTGGTTGTGATTACATTTGTTTTTCCTAATTATCATTATATCAGAATCAATTTACTGAAAAGTGGAGAAAATTATAAGGCAATTGAAACACGAGTGTACTATAGGAGAATCTACAAGAATACTTGGATATGCTGATGACATCAATATCACTGGAGAAAATGAACTAGAGACTGTTAAAACACTGACTCTCTTAAAAGAATCAGCTCAGAAAATGGGTCTAGTTATCAATCATGATAAAACAGAACACATGATAATAACTAGACAGGGAAAGGATATAAACTCTGGCCACACACAAGTCGTTAATATGAAAATTAAACGAATGGAAACATAAAAGAAGTTGGATGCAAACTTCAACTACTCCAACATGCTGAGAGAAGAAATACAATCTGGAAATAAAGTATGCTATGCCCTTCAATGTCTGCTAAAGTCACAGTATCTGTCTTGCAACACCAAAATCAGAATATAAAAAACATTGATAAGACCAGTGGTTATAGCTTTGAAATTTGGAGCACAACTAAAAGAGATAAAGCCTTATTAAAGGTTTTGGAAAACAACGAAAAATCTTTGGACCCATAAGAGATGGAGAGTAAGTAGCAACAATGAAATTCATAAATCTGTTTAAGTCACCATTGATCACTGGCATCATGAGAGCTAGGCTAATAGACTGAAATGGTTGGGGCATATTGTCAAATGACAGAGAAGCGAAAACTGTATGCACTAGGGAGATGAAAGGTCGTTGACCACGAGGCAGACCAAGAAGTTTGTTGAGAGATAATGTCCAGACAGACCTGCAAACACTTGGTGTCACTAACTGGAAAGAGAAGGCCAACCAGAGAGATGAATGGAGGCGGGTGATATCTGCAGTAATGAACCTCATGGGCTCGGAATGCTGAAGAAGAAGAAAAAGAAGAATTTACTGAAAAGTGTGTTGTCGGATCTTATGTTTGGATGTGACTTTCAGTCTCTGAGTAATGACATAATGAATACACTAGAGGTGCAGGAAATTTTTTGTTACTACAATGGACATCCCTAGACACTGGGCATTCCCATGGGTGGAGAATGCTCTAAGGATGCAGCCATCCCAAGATGATATGGAGTATTTTGGAGGAATATTAAGAATATTGTGCTATCAATAGTGGTTTAATAGCTAGCTGCCTGCCTGTCTGTCTGCCAACCTGAAGGTATTGGGTTTGCTATGGGACTCGTTTGCTATGAAGCTGAAACTAAGCTTACCAGATTACCAGAATTGGGTTTGAATCCACATGAAGACTGATGTTTTGTTGTAAATTTACCTTGCTCCCTGGTTAACCCGGCCTAAAATGAGTACCGATGAAGTCTGGAGAAATAAAGGTGACCGGATTGATATTGACCTCATGGCTCATCGAATGCTGATTTTTCTATAAGAGATATGAGCCTGGCAGGGTATGCTTGATGCACTAAAAGCATGACAAGCGTCCTTTACCTGTTGAGAATATTTTAAACAGAGGAGAAAACAAATGCTAGGGTATTGAGATCTGCAGATATGTCACAAGATTACTCAGTGAAAACAAATGCTAGGGTATTGAGATCTGCAGATATGTCACAAGATTACTCAGTGAAAACAAATGCTAGGGTATTGAGATCTGCAGATATGTCACAAGATTACTCAGTGAAAACAAATGCTAGGGTATTGAGATCTGCAGATATGTCACAAGATTACTCAGTGAAAACAAATGCTAGGGTATTGAGATCTGCAGATATGTCACAAGATTACTCAGTGAAAACAAATTCTAGGCTATTTAGACCTGCAGATATGTCACAAGATTACTCAGTGAAAAACATTCAGAGATGCTGAATAGTAATGTATAAATGGGACATAACTACAAGGGAGCACCAAAACTTTCAGGGTCAGACCCTTGTGTCCTACTCCCCTTTTCTCAATCTTTCGATTAACTAAATAACTAACTAACTAACTAACTAACTGACTGACTTAATAACTAACTAACTAACTAACTAGCTAGCCAACTGACTGACTGACTGACTAACTAGCTAACTAAAAAACCAACTAAATGACTGACTGACTGACTGACTGACTAACTAACTAACTAACTATCTAGCTAACTGACTGACTGACTAATTAAATAACTGACTGAATGAATATCTAACTAACTAACTAACTAACTAACTAACTAACTAACTAACTAACTGACTGACTGACTGACTGACTGACTGACTGACTGACTGACTGACTGACTGACTGACTGACTGACTGACTAACTAGCTAACTAAATAACTAACTGACTGACTGACTAGCTAACTTCTTCTTCTTTCGTTCGCAAGGACTAGCTAACTAAATAACTTACTAACTAACTAACTGACTCCCCCGTGTGGGTTCCGGGGCCCCATTGTGGGGAAAACAAGAATAGACCCACTGCCTCCCCAAAAGCATGTCGTAAGAGTCGACTAATTGGGAAGATTCCTTTGAAGTCGGAGTGCATCTGCCGGAGAGGCAAGGAACCAACAGTCTGTATTCAAGAGAATGAGATCTGTAAAACTGATGCACACGCAACACTCAGGTTCTGGAGCAGGACTGCAGTTCAGTAGTGGACGAGCAACCAGAACCTTCCGCCAGAGTTTACAGCTGGTGAACGTGAAGAAGAAGACTAACTGACTGACTGAATAACTAACTAACTGACTGACTGACTGACTGACTAACTAATTAACTCCATTTTTTCCCCTCTCATCAAATTACCAAAAAATGTAGATTCTTTTTTTTTTCTGTTGTGGGCAGTCAGTTCTCTGTGAGTTATTTTTTTTTTCAGTGCATCTTCATTACACTTTTTATCTGTTCATGCTTATCTCATCATTCATCTGTAAAACCACATCTTCGCAGCTTGCAAATAATTGTTCACTTATTGACCAACTGTCAGTGATTTTCTTCCATATATCAGGATGGGGTTTATGTAACTTCTGAGTTGTTACAGGTGACCCAAACTATACATTTTTTTAACTTGAGCATGACTTCTGTGATTTGCCCTGTTGATCTGCCAACCAACTTGAGATTTTGTAAGTCTCAGGGTGTCTGACCTTCAGGTCACAGTCCTGGCTGATGTACAGGGAGAATGTCAGATGACAGGGAGAATCATCTTTCATTATACATCCATGATGGGAGAAACAAGTTAAATTTGTTTTTTCATCTTTCCTTTTATGGTGATATTTATTATTTACCAATGCTTCCCTGTATTGCATGGGATCTTGTGCTCCAGTTTGGAAGAAGGGGGAGGGATATACTCAGTGCCCCTCCCACCCCCCACCACCAGAAAGCATGTTGTAAAAGATCTGTAATTAGAGGATGCTTCTTTCAAAGTCAGTATGCATCAACCTGACAGGTGAGGAACAAACAGTCTGCACACAGATAAGCTAAACCTGAAAAATGGATGTGCATGCAGAACTCACATTTATAACAAGACCACAGCCTAGGAGTACATGAACAAGCAGAACTTTCCCTCAGAGTTTACAACTGTTGAACTCCAATACAGAAAAAGAAGAGAAATAATTGTCATTTTGTGAATGTTAAAATCACATCTCTACCTAGCCTTGTGTCTTATTTGTTGCTCTGTAGCTCCTGCTTATTTGCTGCTAGAAATATGACCTCTGTAGGACAGTGACAAAGATGAATGGCAAGGAGTGATATCTGCAGTAATGAATCTCAAGGGCTGAGAATTCTGGAGCAGAAGAAGAAGGATGTGACCTCTGTAAATATCCTCTAACATGCGTGCATTGTATTCACAGGAAAATATCCCAGGATGTGTGGCTGTTGTCCACCTGTTTGCTGACAAAAATGCACAGTCCTGTGTGATCAAGTCTCCACTTTATGATGCTAAGTCTCATGTTAATGTAAGACTTGGGAGTTTTTGTTTGTCTTTGTTTATTTGTTTGTTTCTTTCTTTTCTTTCTTTCTTTCTTTTTTTTTCTGTCTGTCTTTCTTTCTTTAATTTCTCTTTCTTTCCGATAAACTGTTATATTCTTTACACTGAAAGTAAATGAGTAGTCAGTCTTGTAGGTAGTATTTTGACAAAAGTAGTCCACATCTGACTGATGAGTTCTCCTGTGTAAGATAATTATCTCTGCATGGCTTGACTGACACAAAGATTTGCTGTTCTAGAGGATGATCATCATTTCTTCCTTATCCTTCTGTTTTCCCCTTTCTTCCTAAAGGGGGCAAAGGCCCTTAATCAAGTCTTCTTGATTCTAATTTGCTGTGTTTGCAAGTGAAACTTTTCTTAAGCCGACCCCGACAAACCCTTGCTTAGTTGTCATATATAATATGCTTAGTAGGAAAAGCTTTAACTCTTCTAGTCAGTTGTTAATTTACTTTGTTTTGTCCTGCTACTTCTGCTAATAGATCATCATCATCATCATGTGCCTTGCCGACATGTGTGGGATGGGATGATCATGCCTCTCCACAATCTGCAGCTGCATGCATCAGTTGGTGTGTTGACACCCCTCCATGCCATGAAAAAAATGCTGTCAAGAATCTTCTTGTGCTGTCTTTCTCTGTCTCTCTTTTCACAGATGTTTCCATTGGTCACAATATGTTCCAGCTTCCTTCTTCTCACAACTTGACCACAAAATGATGACCATCTTTTTGTGATAAGTTGTCTTCGAACCATCGCCTCTTTAAATACATCTAGGTTGCTCTTTTAGCTGTTCAATTAATTCTAAGGATTCTTCTGGAAAACCACACATTCAGGGCCTCAAGAAATAGGTAAATGAATTTTAGTGTGTTAAAATTATACAGAATAGAAGAGTTAATGTAACAACTGGATATGTTGTGGGATATAAAGAAAAGATTTTCATATAAGTACAGATTATTAAGAGGACAAATTTCATTGACCTGAGTTATCTCGTATGGCTCGGTCTCTTTCAACAGAAAGCTAGCTGCCTGCTGAGAGCATCACACAAAGCACAAACTGCACAACCCCAGCAACAGTCCCTAGGGATCTCTATAGAAATTGCACCCATGAACTGCGTGCATGCATGAAACAAACCCATGACCTTCACAGCTCTAGGCAAATGGTTTGACCACTTTGCCATGGAGACCCCAACCATCCTATAAGTGGAAACCAATAAGCACACACATGATAAGCTTGTTGGCTGAATCATATAAACCAGCGGTTCTCGACCTGTGGGTCGTGATCCTTTTGGGTGTTGAAAGACCCTTTCACAGGAATCGCCTGATATCATAGGAAAACACATACTCACTGAAGTTACTAAGTAGCAAGGAAAATAATATGGTTCAATGTCACCACAACATGAGGAACTGCATTAAAGGGTCGCGGTATCAGGAAGGTTGAGAGCCACAGATTTAGAGTAATGATAACTAACATACAATACATAAGAAAGAGCAGAGGCTGCTTTCATCTTCCTCCAACACCTCACTGAGCTAACTGGAAGAAGTCAGATTTAGACATTTCATGAACAAACTGGTTAACTCTTTCACTAGCAAACAAGCACCATATGTTTTTCTTGGTGTTTCCAGAAATAATATGATGTTTTTCCTGTCTTCTGTCACAGGCATATTTTATTGAAAACTTTTATGTCTGAATTATTAGTTAAACCATTTTTGTCTTGTAATGTCTCAGTTGAACTTCTAACAAAATATGAATCGGTTTTATGCTCATCTTCTTGAGATATAAATCATTGAAGTAATAACTGTCTGGTACTCAAAGAGTTGTCGGCTCTGTGGCGAACGCTTCATAATGCCGGGATGCCGGGTTCGATCCCAGCTGCAGGCCATGTGCCTTGCATTGGTTTCGACAGTGGTATCAAGAAAGCTGACCGTCCAGAAAGCAATGGCAAACTACTGAACGTAAATTTGCCAGAGGCTGTTGGGGTTGGTTCTGCAACGTCCTGTAAAGGATACGCAACTAACCAAACTCAAAGTTAAGTACAACTGCTTCTGAATATGGTGCTTTTCTGACACTCCTCCAGCTGAAGGTGGTGCTGACGCTGGAACATCTGCAGCAGTACGTCAACCCAAGCCAGATCCCTACAGTGTTGGATGGTGATTATCCTTACAATCATGAGTCCTGGGTTCGATTTCAAAAGGTAAGGACTTCAATTTATGTTTAAAAGGTGGTAAATTTAGGAACTCCTAGACTTTCTCAGAAATGGCCTTGGTTCCCAGGTCGACCTAGCCTTGAGTGGGCACCAGGTATAGTCCTGGGAAGTAATGGTGGCTGGTGTGATGTTGACCATGTCACCCATTGAGTGCCGATTGGTGTATAAAATATAGGTCTAGCCCTATATGCCCAAAATACATGAAGGCATGGAAAGAGGTCCTTTACTTTTCTACGTTTAGCGGACCTATATTCTTCTCCTCCTCCTTCCTTCTCCCTCCTCCTTATTCCTCCTCCTGCTCCTCCCTCTCTTCTTACTGTTTGTTGAAATGAGTAATCCAGATATTTTGAAGAGATGAATACCCAAAGAAAGTTTGTCACAAACTTCAAAAGAAGACAGTCATCTTTTAATAGCCACAGTCTGAGAAGAATAAAACTGAAACACATTGTGACGGTGGGACAGATTTATTGGGAAAGGGGGAGACAGGAAGACACACAAGTAGATTCTTATTTGTTATGTCACGGATTGGTGTTAGTAATGAACTGATACATGTTGTTCATCAGGCACTTGATGATGATATTTCTGTTTGTGTTTTTCAGAAACTGGAATCTTTCATGTCCAACTGCCGAGCTGTTGCGTGCAGACTTGTGGACACCATGCAAGAGATTTCCACTTGTGAACAAATGCCACAGAGCGTGGCGGAGTCTGCGGACATGATCCATACCCATGATCAGGTAGTCAAGCTGGCATTTGAGGATGAGAGGCTGTTGACCTTACAGAGTGATGGCCCAGGAATTATGAGTGCATTGATGAGGGAGGAGGAGCTGTTCTCACATTCAGAGGACTACAGGTGAGGTTCGCATGGAGATGATGATCAGTGGTTTAAATGAAACAAGTAGTGTTAATCAAACAATAACAATTAGGGGTTTCCTTCGAAGTCAGAGTACATTTGCCTGAGAGACAAGGAATTAGTAGTCTGCATACAAATAAGCAAGATCTATAAAAGGGATGTACACTCAAGTTCTGGAAAGAATCCATATTCTCTTCTGGATATCTGTTGCACTCATACCCTTGTCAGTTGTCTTTTTTTTTTTTTTAATCGCATTCGAAGCCACTGCTACTTTTTCAGGATCCATAATTCAGTCAGTGGACATTGTCAGTGACCATGTTGCATTCATTTTTCATGTTGTATTTCCTGTCTAGTTTAAGTAAAGGGTCGTGTAATGTTATTCCAGATACTTTCATAAGTTATAAACTTCTCCACATTATGTTCAGAGAATTGTAAGTTATATAGGTTTATTATTAGAGATGTAAAGTGGTTAATTGTTTTGAATCTCACTCTGAAGGTTGTGGTTTCAGGTTTACATCTCTTTATTTATTGAGTAGAAGTGTTTTAGGAATCCTTGGAAGTTTGGAGTTTATGTTTGCCTGGTATTTCTGACTAGTAATTAGCTGCTCTGTAGAAAGAGACAGCATATAATGTTTCCCTGAAAATAAGAACTAGTCTTATAATATTTTTCGCTTTAGATCTGGAATCCTTTATGTCCAGCTGCCGAGCTGTTGCTTTCAGACTTGTAGACACAGTGCAAGAGATTTCATCATCATGGCTTGTTTTCAGGTGATGTCATATTTTTCACATACAGAAATTTACACTTGACATTTGTTCTTCTGTAACCCCCGCCATAGCTTTTCAGGTCCTGAATTCCAGCCTGAATTTGTTGTAAATTATAAACAACATCCATTAATTATCAAGTGTGCACCAGTAGCGTCTGTACTCTGACTGGCCATTCAGGAACAAGTCTCTCATTCTGAGTCTTAACAAGGCTTATTTTTTTATGTAAGGGTTATGTTAAAAACATCCTGAAAAATCATGCTAGGGTTTATATTTGGGGGTAGGATTTATTTTCTGGGAAACACAGTATCTAGTGAAGTTCATCCTCTCCCCTTTAACTCTTTCAGTAGCAAGCAGCTTTGTGTTTATTGGATATTACACGTGTTATAAATGTTCCTTACTTTGTGGTTTTTTCAGGCTGTTACATTGTTCCATTCTAATAGAATTCTTAACTGTAAAAATACTGTTAAGTCATTTAGACAGCTCCTTCAGAATCACAAAGGAATGTTTTGAAAGCACCTAGAGCTCGGGATAGTAACTGCTGAGTGGTACCCAAAGAGTTCAACATAAGGTTTTCTTGAATAAGATGATAACAGATTAATTTTTGCACAATATGTCTGTAAGCAAACCCCCCCCCCCCCCCCTTTCTCCTCCCCCAGAGACTGTAGCTTATAGATGTGCTCTAATATAACTCCTGCACTCCTGCAGGGTTGAACAGGGTTTCTTTGATTTGCTGCTGATGGATTCTCGTCTGTGAAGCACTATTTCTACAGACAACAGTCCTGGAAGGGAACAGTGACCAGCCAACCAACCACACGAGTTTTCCATTCTTATACTGAGTGTCTTTAATATTTAGTTCAATTGTTTTGTTGATCTCCCCTGCCTTATCTTACCAGACACTGCAGCTCCAGCTACTGCCCTTGCTAAACTATTGTGGAATTTGATATGACCAAGGTCTTTTAGTTTCTGAGAAATTAGCATAATACTGTTTGTGACTAGTTTTCTTCTCTACTTATTTTTCCTGGAATGAAAATTCTGAGAAATTGACTCACCCATTTTTATGAGGCTGGGACAACTGGCAGAACTGAATGCATGGTGACAGATAAAAATATTACCTCTTCTGAAGATTAAATTCAGATCAGTGATACTCTGCCCCTTGTTG